AGGAGATACACGGGGCCAGTGATAATTGCGAGAAGACACATAAACAGGAATGGAGAAAATACACATGATTATAGCATGAGGGGCTAAAAAAACAAATAAATCACCAGCGATACTTAGCTCAATCAAAGTAGGATTTGCCTCCCTCTTTGCCTCCCTCGTGACTCCAACAGGACTCCAATGTCTTTGTCNGATACTTAGCTCAATCAAAGTAGGATTTGCCTCCCTCGTGACTCCCGCAGGACTCTAATGTCTTCGTCTGATGCTCCAGGAAAGTGCTAGCTAAAATGGACACCTGATTGCTGATTTCTCACAGCTGTGGGGCCACGCCCCTTTAATTAGTTAACTCTCTGCAGCTGGTGGCCCTCAAAGGAAATCTAGACTGCCTCCCTCCTGAATTGTTATTGTCTTTTCAGTGTGACAATGGTTTTACAATTACATTAAACCCTAAGTTATAAAGTTATGAGTTTAACCCTTAATACAGTTACAGCTACTCAATAAAGCTCTTAGTATTCTACAAATGTTTAAATCAAAGTTAACCCTAGCAGTCAGTTAGTTCAGTTTTAAGGTTTCAGTCAAATTAGTTGTCCCAAGTTTCTGCCTGACAGCTACTGTAGCGGTTTTGAGATTTAAAATCACAATTTCAGTCAGATCAACTACAGAGCATTTATACAGAGTACACACACTGAAACAGAGAAGTCTAAAAACAGAATGTTACTCACACAATTCTAGAAGTCACCAGTTGTTATCCTGTCAAAATCGAGTTGCACACATGCTAGTAATCCAAACACTTAATCTGCTCTGTAACCCATTCAGTTATTGGTTCTTACAAAAATCTTAGTGTCTGTTATTTCACACAGATGCTGAGTGATGAGCACGATGTGTCTTTCTCAGTGTCTAACCTGCACAATGGGATCCGGCTGGTGGACAGCGAGGCCCTGGTGTGCATCACGTCCTTCTGCTTCCCCTCCGCTGCGGCCTCGGTGCAGTGTCTGGCCTGGGTCCCCTCAGCCCCCGGCATGTTCATCACTGGAGGTAAACACTGTGTGTGTGGGAGGTGTGTATGGTCTGCCAAACTGCTCTGAGGGACCTGTTGTTGCCATCTGTATGTGCACACAGTAGATGCATTTTTACTTGCATATTACTGACTACATTTGGCTTCTTAAAACCTCATTTACTATTACACCATTTCAATAATAGATGAAGTTTATATCAAAGAAACCCTGCTACCCCATCATGACCATCAATTAGTCCCTCTGTGTTACCTTGAATTCTGGAATAAAGCCACATGCCTCCATGATGCATAAAGAATCCAAAACAGGAAAGGGCTAGATGTATTGAATTGGATAACTCGTTGGGGGCTGCCTTTAACAACCTCTCACATCTCATGCAGTGAAATCCAAGTCCAATTGTTTACTACTTAAACACATGCAATTTCAGTAAAACCTTTCTTTTGGAAAATCTTCTGCTTAAAAGGTTTGGCACTACTCATCTATGTGAGTCCGGATGTGTAGCAGGGGCCTTTTAATATAGTTTTGTTGTTCAAAACTATTATTTTCCTGCTAAGTTTTACAGACCAAAATATATTTTGTAACATTTTGTCTTATGAAACACACCTTTGAAATGTTTTAAGTGGTTTGCCTCTCTCTGTCTGCAGACTCCCAGGTTGGGGTGTTGAGGGTCTGGAATGTGTCTCGCTCCACTCCTTTGGACAGCTTTAAACTGAAAAAGACTGGATTTCACGCTTTGCATGTCCTGAACTCCCCTCTTGCCAAGAAAGGTAACACTTGGGAGAAAACCCAATGAACTAACCAAGGTGGTAGATATTCAAAAACCCATGAATCTCTGCTGTACGGGAGTTATTTTTCATGCTGGTATCAAACAACATTCTGTTCAAGTTTTACACAACATCCACATCTCTTTCCCCACAGATGTATTCTTCTAGAGCAGTGGTTCTCAACCTTTTTACACCAAGTACCACCTGAGAAAATAGTTGTCTCTCCAAGTACCACCACATGACCAATGTTAAAATACAGTCTATGCACAGTTCATGCAGGACTCGGAGGCACATTTATTCATAATAACATTATTTTTTTTCAGCCACAGCTACATGTACAAAGGGTAGTCTCTCTCTCTCTCTCTCTCTCTCTCTCTCTCTCTCTCGCTCTCTCTCTCTCACTCACTCACTCACTCACTCACTCACTCACTCACTCACTCACTCACTCACTCACTCACCACAAGTGAGAACATAAAGAACAAAATAATAACTTATTCTTACACAACAAATGACAACTTTACACACGTCATTTCCTGTACCAAAGTGAGAATGTAGGCCTCCTGCAACAACCCACATCGTAACAGAAAATGTCCTCTTGGGAATTCAGTTCCACAATAATAATGAAGCCTCCAGGAGCAGATGAGCCTAAGGGCTAATAGCTCATCTTCAGTCTGCTGATGTTTGCTATTTCCATTTCTGTGGTGGCAAAGTAAAAAAGAAAGTAAAAAAGATAACAATTAAGGGCAAGTGTGTGCTTTTTCGGCTTTTGACCTCGGTCACAGCCTTCTCTCCATTATTTGAGCAAATGCCTTCTTCCTGAGTCACTTCTGTCCTCCATCACAGCGGCTTTGCATATCACTTTTGCGTTGCTGGCGGAGCCTGCGCTTGTGCTCGGTTGATGACTGTCCTCCTCCTTATTCACTTGTTCACTTTCGCTGGTAATATTCTCCTCTGTACCTCTCCTCTGAATACCTCAATCAATCAATCAATCAATCAATGTTTATTTATATAGCCCAATATCACAAATGTTACATTTGTCTCAGTGGACTTCACAGTTTGTACAGAATATCAGTATGACAATACGACACCCTCTGTCCTTAGACCCTCACATCGTACAAGGAAAAACTTCCAGAGAAAACCCACAGTTTAAAGGGAAAAATGGGAGAAACCTCAGGGAGAGCAACAGAGGAGGGATCCCTCTCCCAGGACGGACAGACGTGCAATAGATGCCGTGTGTAAATTGAAAAGATAATACATTTGCAACATAGGTAGTCCAAATGTTTTGAAATGCATGTGTGTATAATAGGAAGATGAATCCACGAGTATATCCATCCAGGACTTATGATCCAGGACCACAGCCACGGCTCAAGATCCAGGACTCGCAATCCATGACACAGGACCGCAGGATCATCCATGATTCCGGATCCCGGCGTATATAGACACCAAAAAGAAAGAAATTTGGGGAAGCTGGGTTAATCGGAACATGAGAGTACACAGGTATAGACAGAGAGAAGGAAGAAGTAAGATGTCCCCCGACAAACTAAGCCTATATCAGCAAAACTAGGGGCTGAATCTAATCAGCCCTAACTATAAGCTTTATCA